CCCCCACCATCCCCGTCCCACGATCTTTTTCTTTCTTTTTAAAAAAAAAAAAAAAGCTGCGGCGTGCAGCATTAACAATAGCTTTCACAATACCAGCTCAAGGCATCGCGTACTGTACATCATTCAAGTATTTCTTAATATAAGACAACAAGGAATTATCTACAACTGATAAACCAAAATAAGCTATAAAAAGTAACAATGTACAATCAAGATGGATTTTTTTTTTTTTCTTTTCCTTTGAAGGAGGCCTCTCCTGCGTGTCCCAGTGCCTGCATGGGGGGGGGGGGTAGGGGGGGTGTCCCCTCACCACCACCCCGCTCCTCCCCACCCCACACGGTGGGACTGGGGGCACCCAGGGGAGAGGGCCGATGGCGAGTGCGAGGTGGTTTCAGGCAGGGGGAGCTGCCATCCCTGACCCACCGATACCGCTCCGTAGAAGGGCCAGGAGAGGCAAGAAAAGACAGTCCCTACCCCAAACTCCCTCAACACCCGAGATCATCATCTCCCAAGATAACTCACACACACCTCCCTGAAACAAAAAACAACAAATATTGCATAGTATTGCTGTCAGCAGTCTTAGAACAAAAAGGAGAACTTTTGCCCCCCCTCGGAGACAGGGACTATCTTCAGCTGTAGACTTGGGGAAATCTCTTCCCCAGCTCAGGGCAAGCACCCAAAGCCTTCACCTGCACACACCATGGGCCGAGGCTGCTTTTTTAAAATATAAAGCTCAAAGCATTGAGTTGGAAGGGAGAGGAGATTGCTAACGGCGGGGGCACCCTCTGTCCTGGCACGCTGGCCCGGGAGACGCAGCTACGGCAGTGGCACAATCACGCGACGGGGAGCAGAGGTTTGCTCTCCGGTGCAGTTCAGGGTGTGATTGGAGGAGCTGGAGACCAGCCTGGCCCCGAGCGCGGGCACCGCTCGCTGCCCCGCACCGAACCAGCCCCGCGTGGCACAACCTGAGGGCCTCGTCCTGATCCAGCATCCCAAATTCCTTCCCTGCTTCCATTCCCTCCCTTCCCCACAGCAAGCTCCGAGGAGAGGGCAACATCATGCACACACATGCGTGAACACACGTGAGCGGGGATGCACACGCGTGAACACACGTGAGCGGGGATGCACACGCGTGAACACACATGAGCGGGGATGCACACGCGTGAACACACAGCCCACCTCTCCCCTGTCAGACCCCGCACCACCCAGGCACAGCTGTGCCCTGACCCCCAACCCTCCGGCCCCACATCCCAAGCCCTTCCCAAGGCTGCTCCCCCCG